GCCCCAGCTTCGTTTTGGGGCTTCGTGCTTTTTGCCAAAGCGCTTCCCAAAGGGCAGGCTGAAGATAGTGGGAGGGTAAATTTCGGGTGCTGCTCGATGCCTCCGCCACCACCTGCCCACCTCCCCGTGCTTTGCTCCATGCCGGGAGGTTTTGGGCCTCCAGCAGCCTGGAAGGAGCTGTGACCCCTGCGGGCACGCGGTGGGTACGGGGCCAACGCCGCTCTCTGCATCATCCCCGAACCCTCTTCCTGAGGATCAGGAGGTCCCTGCCGCACCGGGCTCTGCACCACCCAACCTCACCCGTGGGGGCACCGAGAGCAGGATCAGCCCCGGCTCAGAGCAACCCAGAGCCCAGGAGCCCTTGGGTAACCCTGGGTGCGCCTCTCCACGCCAGGACCCCAAAACACAGAGCATCAGCATCCCCTAAACCCCTTCCAGCACTAAACCCAACCAAATTCCCATTTTTGCCCCTCTCCCTGAGCCCCTAGGGCTGGTCCCAGCCCCGGCGGGGAGCGGCGCGGCGCGGCCAACAAAGCGGCTCCCGCTTGGGCGCTGGGAAGGCAGCGGCGCGGCGAGCACAAGACCTCAGCCAGGCAGAGCTGTCAATCCGGCCCCCCGAGCCCTCAAAAGACGGATTGTTTAAGGACAAAAAAAAAAAACAAACAAAGGAGAAAAGGGAACTTATGGACGTGAGCTGAGAGGCGGGGAAAGAGGGGAGGGGAAACGAGCCCGGCCAAGTTAAAATTCCGACGGAGAAGTTGCGGCTGAACTATAGAGTCTAGACAACCATTCACCGCCCGGCCCCGATTGTTATATAGCCTCTATTGTCTTAATTAACCATTTTAGTTGAAATGGGAGCAGACAAATCTTTTCTTCTGCGCTCCACCCCTCCTCTGCCGCACACTCATGCAGACAAACACACGGCCGAGTCAAGTGCTTTGATTTCCAAACCCCTCCGCGTCCCCGCGCGCGCACACACACACACAGAGCCCCCTTCTTTGGGGAGGGCTCCGCGAGGTCCCTTGAGAAAAAAAAACCTCGCCAAACGCACCCGGGGAGCCAAACGCACCCGGGGAGCCAAACCTGAGCAAGGAGAGGGGCTCGGTAGAGGTTGGGGAGAGAGGGGGGGGGGCGAAAAGAAATGCAAATCCCGACGCAACGTGAATGGGAACAAATGGGTTGATTCTTTTAATCTCCTAATGTGCTTAATAAAGCATTATTGCGATGCAAATTTTATTTTAATGCTGTACATATTTTATTTGACGTGCCGGTAATTTTAGTTGGCTGAACAACCCGCCGCTTTGTTTTGCCGAGTTATTTCTGTTTCGGGGTGTGGGGTGGAGGGGGGGGGGGGGCGGGGATATTTTTTGAGGCCATCACGGGACTTGTGCCAACCGATACCCCCCTGGGAACCTCTGTGGCACGCTCTTTGGAGGCTTAAGCTAAAAAATAAATAAATAGGAGGGCCAAATTCTCCTCTCATGACCCCGGCGGCAGCGCAGCAGCCCTGGCGAGCCCCGCTGCCTCTCGCAGCCCTCCCACTGCTCCCCTTCCTGCCCCTTTTCCTGCTGCACTGGGAAAACCCCGAGCACAAATCGGGCATCGTCTGGGCACCCCCCAAGGAAATCTGGGCTCCGCCAGCACTTGGAGAGCCAGCCCTGCCCCGGGGAGGGGGGCGGGGAGGGGGGAACCTGCCTCATTTTATGCCAGTGTGTCAAGGTGCAAACCTGATTGCAAAAGAAAGAAATTAGCGCCAATTATAATCATCATGCCAGGCTGCGGCTCTCTAATAGAAAACTGTCATTTTGGCAGGATAAATGCAGCTCCAAGAGCTCGGGGAAGCAAACACGGGCGCGGGCAAACGTGCGAGCTGGGGAAACGCGCCCGAGACCCTTCGGAAAGGGCTCCTGGGCGCAGGGGCTGGGCGCTGAAAGGTTTGGGGTGGAGAGAGATGAACCAAAGGGCAAGGAATAACCACGTAGAGGCATCAACCAGGTGGAGGAGCACCAAAAAGGGATGGAAAAGCCTCTGCTGGGTGCATCCAGGGGGTCCTCGAGGTGGAGACCCCCGGGCAGAGCCCACGACCCCTCCTGGCACCGTTCCTTGTGGGATGCAGGAGCAGCGCCGTGGGGATGGGCACAGCTTGGGGATGGCTTTGGAAAGCCCTCGGGTGCAAGTGGGGGCTGGAAATCCAAACCCCACAGCTGTGAGCAGCAGGTTTAGGAGCAGGCTGGAGGCTCTCCCAGTCTTCTGCTCATCCCTACTGCGGGAGGTGAGCAGAGCGGGGGCAAACAGAGCACCCGCGGCCCCCAAAAGGATCGGGCACCTCCAGGGAAATGTTGATCCCATCCCAAAGTGGGGCCAGGAGGGCTCTCGGGGGCTCCCCAGCAACAGGGAATGGCCACAGAGGGGATTCATGGGGGGGCCAGGAGCCGCTCCAGAGGCTTTGCCCCAGCCCCTCGCCTCCGCCACCCTGTGTGCCCCTTCCCACCTTCAATCCGGGGGGGCCCCAACCTCTAAAAAGCCAATTCCTGAGGGTCCTCTGGAGGAGCAGACCCCACAGAGGTGACCGGGCTCACCCACAGCCCCAGAAAAAAACCCTTTAAGACCACCACCAAGATCCCAGCCCTTCTCCAAAGCACACCCCCAAAAAAACCCCGAGACCCACCTGAGCACCACGGCCACATCCTGCAGGGCTCGGGGGGAGGCAGGGGGAAAGCAGAGCCCCCCCTTAGCCCAGTCTGACACCGAGCAGCCCCCCGGTTTCTCCTGGGTCCTCGTGGGGTCCCCTCAGACCCCTCACCCAGCTGGGGGCACCCTGGGGTGCGGGGGTCCCCATGAGCGAGACACCCAGAGAGGGCCAGGAGGAGGCAGGGTGCCGAGGTCCTCACCTTTGTTAAGCCCCCCAGGCACGATCTTGCCTCCCCCCCCCAATAATAATATTTCATCTACCTTATCTGATTAGGTTGGGCTCATTTGTGTGTATTTTGTTGGTTTTTTTTCCAAAAACACCTTTAACCACCTCGCAAATTCCCCGCCATCGCAAACAGAGCCACCACAAACATTTGCTGCAATCCAAGTTTTATTTTCGGCAATCTCTTTTTTTTTTTTTTAATGCAAGAAAGGCAGTTGTAAAAAAAAAAAATAATAAAAATTTAAAAATATGAAAAAGACAGAGGCTGAGAAAACATTAACAAGGCCCTGTGCTTTCTGCTAAAGTGCCTTCATTTCATTATCATTAAATTTGCCTAGTAATTAGATTTCAGTGCATGAATATTTTAAAAAAAAATGTAACAGACAGGCTGTCAAAAAAAAGCACGACAACATCAATTCGGTAATTTTTTAGACAGAGACATTCATAAGCAATTAACACAGATTTCCCGGGTTTGGAGACTTTTTTTTTCCTTTCTTTTCTTCTTTTTTTTATTTTTATTTTTTTTTCCTTCCAGCCTTGTGTTCTTCACCTGAAATCAAAAGAAAAAAGAAAACCACCATAAACATGGGCATTGCTGGTTATGCCATTTTATTTTTTTTTTTTTTTGCCCCCCCCCCCCGGCTCGGTTCCCTCCCCAGCCCCGCTGAGCACCGTGGGGCCAGGCACCGGCCCCGCAGCACCCGCTTCACCCGAGGTGTCACCAAGCTCCTGGCTCGATTTTCAGGCGTTTCTGCTGAAAACGGTGATTTTGAGCATTATTTGCATAATTGTACAGTTCGCCGGCTCCCTAATTATGTGATCTGTGTTCGGCACCGCTGCAGGCGAGGGGAGGCTGGGAGGCAGCACCGGGGCCTGATCCTGCACCTGGCTGAGCATCGCAGACCCCATCCCATTGAGCTCACGGGGCTCAGACATCCCGCAGAGCCAAGGGACCAAACCCCAACCCCACCAAGCGTCCCTTGGCCAAAACCACCTTGACCCAAACCCATCCCTTGACCCAAACCCATCCCTTGACCCAAACCCATCCCTTGACCCAAACACGGATGGATGTCGAAAACCCACATCCAGTTTTTATCAGCATCACCGGCAAGCTTGAGACTACCCAAAACCAGCCCCACACAAAGAAAATCCGAGACCTCAGCTCGGGTCATGCCTCCCCGAAATCTCCTTTGCGAGGTTTTATCGGCAAGAGCAGGGAGTGGAAGCAGTTGGTACAAGCGGCTGAACGACCAAATCAAAAGCATGTGAGCAGATTAAAGAATCAATCTCCCCGTTTGATGCAGAGGAAATCCCGCTAATTATAAAGAAGGGGCTTATTTCCTGGAGTCACTCTGTTTGAAGTCATCAGAAACTAGTAAGACTTAATTACTCGACTTTATGGGCTAGGGAGCGGCGAGCCCCCTCGCCCACTCGCCGGTGCCATGGCTGGGGCTTGCAGGGGGTGTTGGGGATGTTCCTCCATGTCCCCCTGCACTGATTTATTCAGACGAAGCCCTTAACAGCCCTCGCATGAGCCTGCAGGGAAGCATTTACACATTTTAAGAGGGGAATATAATGAAAATTAAAAATAATCATAAAAAAAAGCAACCAACACAACAGAGTGCGTTAGCCATGCAAGCTACCTGGGTATTAGCGCAGGTGTGTGGGCTTTGTGCTAGCAAACACCTGCGGGATCAGGAATTTGGAATGAAACCCAAGGGAAGGCGTTCACTGCATCCGAATCCTCGGGCAGGGAAGGGTCCGGCCCCCACCAGCTCTCCCTGGGCAATATGATGGCCACAGGCTGAAAATAATCGGATATTCTGGGGAGAGCACGTGGGAAAAGAGAGCGGCAGAGAGGCACAGGGGCTTGGAAATGGCACGGGGTAAGGTAATGTAAAGGACCTGGAGAGGTGCCACGTGCAGGGAAACGCGTTTGGCACGTGGCCGGGATGGGCTTCACCTAAATCACCACGGGAAAGCTCCAGCACCCAGATGGGGGAGGAAAAACGTGAAATAAAATAGCAGCGATCACATCGTAACGGACTGGGAGGAAAGCTCAAAAACTGAGACCCAAGAGATTGAAACGGGGAAATCTGAATAAGTTCATTTTTATTAAGTCTTGTCCCTGTCGGTGCAATCTCAAGGGGAGCCGAACACCGAGCGCACCTCGACCAAAGCCCCAGGAGAACCCGTCCCTGGCCAGGGAGCAAACCCCACGGAGCCAAACCCACCCCGAGGCTGACACTGGGGTCTCTGCGTCCCTCGGCGCCTGCCCCTCATCCTCCTAAAGTTTTCGGGCAGCTTCCGTGGTGGCAGTGCCTGGAGGACGCAGCGTTGGTTTTGCTCCGGTTGGCGTTGGCTTTCCAAATTCCTCACCACCTTCTCCAACTAAATGGGTAAATTTGGGGATGGGCAGCAGCTCGAGGTCTCTGTCAGGAGCAGCAGCTACGGTACCCGAGATTTTGGGGGTTTTTGTGGCTCCATCCCGGTGTCCATTGAGCACTGGGGGACGTGGCGCTGCCGCGCTCTGAAATTCTGCACATACCAGCTCGCCTCGGGAATGTCCCAGGAATGCTGCTGCGGAGTCATGAGGCTCCACAGCCAAGAATTGGGGGAGAAAAGGGTGGTTTAGATTTTCCTAAGAGAGAGGAGGGCAAGCTGCTAAACCCAGGCTTGGCCTAGGTGGGAAACTGCTGGTCGGAGCCATCCCTCCCGAGGGGGCCGAGCTTTTGTGCAAACCAGGCTGGGAGCCCCGAGATGCAAACTCCGGGGGGCTCTGGGTGCTGCGGGGGCTCACGCTGGGGCAGGACACCCACCAGCATCACCCTTGGGTGCCCTCACCACCACTCATCTCGCTGTCCTGCTGCTGGTGGGAGCGCAGGGTCAGCATTTCCCTGCTGCTCCTTGTGCCCGTTCCTGGTGCTTTTTGCAGAAAAACCCTGCCCAGATGCCCCAGCGCTGTGCAGAAGGCTGGATTCCCATGAATCCAGGATGAGAGCCACATTTCCCACCCAGAGGCATTTCCTCCAGTCCCCCCCAGCACTTTCTGTGCTCCAGGTTCCCCGTTTGGGGCAGGGTCTCCACCCGGAGAGCCAGCGGAGGCTGGCGAGGCAGGAGCCATGGCAGGGAAGGGAAGGGGCCGAGACGATCCCCAAGTAAAACCCTCACCCCCTGCCCAAGCAGAACCCAGAAAATCCCCAGGTGAGCACACCACGGGCAGGTTTTTCCTCCCCTCTTCAGCTCCAAGGTACGTGAGGAGGCGAGGAAGGATGCGCCGCGAGGGGAACATCCCTGCGTCGTGGCTGGGAAGTGGGAAGGGAATTGGGTTTTATCCAAAGAGGCTTCCTGGGGCTGGGGGCCTCCTTCACCACAACCCATCGCTGGCACGAGCACAGCCAGCGCCGTGCAGGGCTCCCAAACCCAAACCCAACCCCAGGGCTGCTTCTCCATGTGCCACCCCAAGGCCAGGACCGATGGACATTCCCCTGCGCCACCCCAAAACGGGCTCAAGCAGTGGCCCCGTCCCTTGGTTCATGGGATCCACTGCGCTCAACGCACCTGGAAAATAAACTCATCAGCAAGAAAACCTCGCCACAAGCGAAGCAAAGGCTTTAACGCCCCGCGAGGGCTGGGCACCCAAAGGTCCTGCACCCCTTTCGGGGCGCTGGGGACAGCGAGGGGGGCGCGGAGCCCCCCGCAGCCGGCGGCTCGCCGCAGCCCGGCCGAGGTCCGTTTGTCACTTTTCCTTCATTATTTGCAGTTTGTACACAGGCGTCATTAGGGATTCATTCGGTTTCCCTAGCAGCAGGCATTAGTCTGGCTTCCCTTTCCCCCTCTCTCTCCCTCTCTCAGCAGCGCCCTTTATTTTTAGTGTCTTATTTACAGTTTGACAGAGTAACTGTAACCCTTGCAAGCTACTCCAGCGGCTTTAATCGGGGGAATAATGGGTCCTGTCTGGCGATGAATAGAATTTAGGGGACAGATTGTTCCACACTCGCCCGGTGGGGGTAATTTATTTATGTGCGCACTTGTCAGGAGGAGAAAGGGACGGGGGGATCTGTATGCGCCGAGGACACCGCCACCGCTGAAAGGCGGAGGGGAAGGGAGAATGGAGCCAAACGCCCTGGATCCCGCTGCCCCCCTGGCAGCTGAATGCCTCCGGTGGCCGTGAACTTGGAAGGGCCGAAAGCCCCATTCCCAGGCCCTCGGCACGTCAGCGGGGCCGCCCGCGGGTGCTGCCGGCAGCGGGGCTGGGGGGCTCCAGATGGGTCCGGCCGTGGCGCTCTGCCCTCCCCAGCGCTGCCCCGCATTGCCGCGGCGCGGGGAGCACGTCCCATGGCAACGGTACAGTAGCAGCGGCACAGCGGGGGGCTGGGAAGAGAGGCAAAGCCCTCGGAAAAAATACAGGATGGGTTCCAGACAATGGCCCCCCCTCTCATATCATAAATTACACGGCGGCCACAAAAGGGGGGACGGGGATGCTGGCGCTCCCAACGCTCCCCGTTCCCAAAGTCCCCGCGCTCGCTGGGCGCCGTGGGGAGGGAGGTGGAGGAGGGATGCTGCGGCACCCATGGGCGCTGTGTTTGGGGAGAAAGCCCCAGCCCCGTCCCCACCTGCAGCACGGATGCTTCGCCCCGCAGCAGCCCCGCTTCCTGCCCCAAAAATCTCCCTGAGCGCCCGCTGCCCCGGTTCCAGGCTTGCCCACAGCACCAGGACCAGCTCCTGCTGCAGAAGGCTCTCTCCCTTTGGAAAAAAGGCCTTTTTTTTCCCTCCCATTTCCTCCCTGCAGCTCCAGGGCCAGAGCATTTTGCATTTATTACCAATGGCTCGGTGCCTCTGCACGGCTTCTCCCACCCGCTTCTGCCTGGTGAGGGCTGGGGGCGGACGCACACAGCTCCCCATGGGACACGGGGTGCTCCCCAAGCCCCCCAAGCTGCCAGCAGCATCAGGCCAAAGGAGAAGGGGCTCAGGCTGCTCCCACCAGCATCAGAGGGCTCCCTGCTTGGCTCCTTTCCTCCCTAAAAGAGCAAAGGAGCCTCAAATCCTGTGCTCAAGGGCACTTTCTGACCCACTTTGAATCGCTGGCACGGCGGCACCTCAGCCCTGATGCGCCCAGTGCCGCTCTAGGATTGCCCTGGGTGCCCAAATTTGCCTTACAGGATGGGGTCAGCAGGACTGGGTACGAAGCACTTCCAGTTCCTGGGCTTCCAGTGGTACGGGAGAGCTGCTCGGAGCCGGGAGGGCCGCGGGACTCAGCACCCCAAACCTCCTCGCCCCAGCCCAGGACGCCACAAGCACCATGGGTCCCCCGTGGGCACCTCCCAGGAGCTCGAACCTCACTGCAGCGAGCTGGAGGATGGCAAAGGAGGACAGCAAAGGAAGCCTGAGCCACGTGGAAAGCACCGAGGTGTCTTCTCCAGGCAGATGCACGAGGTCTTCTGGTGGCACCAGGGGCCGTGGCGCAGCGCTGGGACGTGGGAGGTTGGCGGTCGCGCTTGCTGATTTTCAAGTTCACTTCCAGCCCCGGTGATTCTGTGACTCTTTGGCTGCCCACGAGCTGTAGGACAGCGCACACGATGCTCCTGGTGTCTCCTACACCTCTCCCCAGGACCGAGGGTGATGGATCCAGCACCCAGAGGTCTGGATGCTGCCCTCGTGGTCCCACGGCCGGGGCAGAGCGCGCTGAGACCGGAGCCAGCCCAGCACCAGTTCTATGGGAGACCTTCCCTTGGCAAGGAGACCAAAAGCTCTCCTTGCTCGGCCAAACTCAAGCCAAGAGTGCTCAAATATGTTCAAAAAAAGGCAAAAAGGTGGCCTTCACCCCAGGAACCCAGCGGCTTGCAGGCCGGCCCCTGCACCGCCGCATCCCACCGCCGCGGGACCTGGAGGGGGGACCCTCGCCCGGGCACAATGACTGTCTATTCTGCTGATCACAAGCCTAATCCTCTTTGGTTTTTAATTGGCATTTGGGCTAAGCTGATTTAAACCTCTTCACCTTGTTGGGTCCCCCCCTCCCCACTTCTTTCTTTTCTTTTTGCTTTTTTTTTTTTTTTTTTTTGGACCAAATAACAACGCTGCCATCACCCAGCCCCCGGCACAATGACATCTTTGTGCGAGGGCGAGAGGAGAGGAAAGGAGAAGGGGAGGGAGGATGGAGGGGGGGGGGGGCGAGGCACGGCGAAATGTGCCGAACCCCCTCGGAAACAATGCGCAGTTTGTGATTCAGCCTTGACCACGGGCAAAGCACCCGCTTCAGCTGCGCCTCGGTCACCACCGCGCTGGCCCTGGCCATCGGGCCCCTCCCCAGCCCGGTCCCCTGCCCGTCACCTCCACCTGCGCACCCTGAGGTGCCCCCCGCGTCCCCCCCAGGCTCACCCACGAGGTTCGGTGCTGCCCAGCACGGGGATGCTCGGTGGTGTCCTTGCCTGTCCCCAGGGCAGTCCCCGGTGTCCCCGTGGCCGCGGTGCTGGCACCAGGCGTGCTCTGCGCTGCTCCAGCCAGAAGGCAGGAGGAGGAGGAGGAGGAGGAGGAGGAAGTTCACGTGGGATCAGCCACGGTGAGGGCTTCTGGTGGCCCCCAGACGGGGCTGGTGGCTCTCAGGGCCGGGCTCTCCTGGGTTTGCAGGGTGGGTTGTTCCCACTCCTGGGTTCATGTGGTAGCGAGAGGACCTGGGATGGAAACAAAAAGCAACAGAAGCACCTTTATCACCTCCACGGGTTTCACATCTAAAACACAAAAATAAAAGAAAATATCCTTGCAGGAGCCCTTTGTTCCTTCAGGTGGGAAGGACGCCGCTGGCAGGCTTGGAGGATTGCGAGTTAACAAAACAGCTCCGAGAGGTTTTAGGAGCCAAACCCGAGGGCGTGCGAGGAGCCGGGGATGTGGATGGAGAGCAAGATGCTGCCCCCCCTGCTCCCCGCAGCCGGGGTCTCCCGCACCCATCCCCGAGCTCCAGCCTGTGCCAGAGCCTGCTCGGCCCTCAGGGTGCGGAGAAAACCTTGAGAAATAAATTCACTTACCAGGAAATTCCCCACGAACTCTCACCAGGAGCCACGCGCCGTGAAGTGCTGGCCACAACGCACGCAGAGCATCGCGCCGGGGGAAGCCACGCCGCTCCCTGGCAGGGAGAGAGGGGGAAAAGGGGATGGGAACGGGATGAGCATCAGCCCCAACCCCGGTGCTTCTGCCCCAAGTTTTGTGCAGGATCGTTCAGCACCCCCTGTCCCCGCCAGCCTCAGGGGCATGGGAATTATGAGGCTGGACCTACGGCTGTAAATCCCAGTGGAAAAAAACAAAACAAAAACAAAACACGTTTTTCCATCATCTTTCTGGGGAGCTGCGAGCCCCTCCGTGCCCAGGGATGCTGAAAAACCCAAAGCCAAGGGGTTCATCCGGACACGGGAACACCGGGCAGCTCCAAAAATGATGCCCCCAAAACCAGGGTGGCCACAGCCCTCGTGCTGCCCCACACCACCCTTACGGATTTATTTTGGCTTTAGATATTAAATTTCTTTGTATATTTTTGTGAAAACTCTGCTTTATCCGTGGCTCTTCACGGGCTACGCATGGATTTAAACATCCTGAGCAGAATTTATGGGGCACATTTAATAGAGAAAGGCATTTGGGGCAGAGAAAGATCCTTTTTCTGCTGGTTAAACCAGGGAGAAGCCAAGCGGTGGAAAGGACTGAGGCACAGACGATGCCCAGCCTCAGCCCCAACCCAAACCCAGGTCCCAGGAATGAGAAAAAATGAGGAAAAGGAACAAAAAACCTCCCCCAGCACGGACAAATAAACGAAGGCAGGGGGAAATCAGCTGAGCAGCTAAGAGCCTTAGCGCATTTTTGCGGGCGTTAGGGACGGGGCTCCCATTCCTGCACGCGCTGGGCCGGGCACGCCGAGCCATCGGTGGTTTTTCCACTGGGGAGGGGGGAGAAAGAAAAAAAAAAAAGTGATTTATTTTTCTTGAAACCATAAATTTCCAGTTGTTTCGGGTTGCCGTGAAAATTCCCCTCGCGCCAGGGTTAAGCTCGCTCCATGGATTTAGACCTCCGAGTTTCTCATGGCAACAGAGGGATGGGGAGAAGCGAAAAAAGCAAAGCAAACCCAAGCTCAGGGAGGACAAATTTCGTCACCTAAAAATCACAAGGCTCTCACGTGGGGTCTGTAGAGAAAACACCCCAAAATACCTCAAGTGCCAGAGTAAAAAACCGATCAGTTCACACGTGGCCGGGTTGTGCCGGACCCGGTGATTTTCCCCTCTCCTGTCCCGATTTCGGTGCCACGAACCAGCCCTAGGCTAGGGCAGGGATGACCCCGCTTGTGTTTGGCATCGATTTTTTTCCTCCCCTAAACAGCCACAAAACGTTCTCAGCGATAATTAAGACTGTTGGATTTTTCTAATCCAAAAAAATGGGGGAGAAAAAATAAAAATAACGATCGGGCAGCTGCCTCCCTAATATTATCGCGACGCGTTGAAAATCCAACCTCAGCTGGAGCCACTACACGAAAATTCGGTGGTCGAACCAAGCCCCCAACACCCCCGCGTGGCATGGAGCACTTTTTACTGATAATTACAAAAAATAAAACCCTCGTAGAAAGGACTGGGCACCATCCCCAGCGCAGAGACCGAGGCTAAAATAAAATCGGGGCATTTTAGGGCGCGGGTGATGCCGGTGGCGCTCGGTGGCCGCAATGCCAAGCCCATTGCCGGTGGGAAAAGGAAAAATTTGGGCGTTTGAGGCCGAGATGGAGACGTGCTGAGCCCCGTGCCCCCATGGCGAGCACGGGGGGCCGAGGGCAGGATGGGTCCCCCCCCGTGCCCGCGGTGCCGCGTGGCGCTGAGCGGGGAGAGAGCATCGGCCATTTTACGTGTCGGCTGCCTAAAATGGTGGCTCGCACCTTTTTCCCTTTCTGCTACCGTTTCCAGCACGCATGCACCCGCGGGGAAGGGGAGGGAGAGGGGCCGTGGCCCCCCCCCCAACCCCCCCCCCAAGCGCAGGCGAGGGCGCCGGGAACGGGAGCCAAGCTGGAATTAGAGGGGGGGGAAATTAAAGGAGGGGGGGGAGAGGGAAGGATGCGCTCGCCTCGCCACGGCCCATCCGCCCTTGGCTTTTGTGCGTCGAAGGGAGAGGCAGGAAGGCATGGAGGGGGGAAAAATGGGGGGAAAATTAAAAAAATAATAATAAAAAAAAAATGAGGGGGAACGTGGCATTTGGGTGAGGATGGGGGAAAACACGGAGGGGGCAGGGATGCGCGTGGGGCGCGGGGAAATCTTCCCGTCTTTCTTCGCCGACCCCCCTTCGCCCTCCCCGCAATCCCGCTTTGACTTTTCCCACAGAAGTAGCCAACCTCCAAGAATGCAAATGACATTCATTATGCAAATGCATGCAAATCAGGTTTAACTATCGGAAGAAGGGCTCGGAATTTCTAATGGCTTAACTCTTTCGCACACAACCACCACAACAAGAGCCCCGCGTCCTGGTGCTTGGGCTTTGTGTTTGCTCCATCCCTCCCCAGGCACCCCGGCCCCGCACCCTCGCTGGGGTCCCCCCCGGTCCCCCCCGAGCATGGGGGCGAGGGACGAGGGGCACGGGGAGGGCGTCGGGGGGGGGGGGGAACAAAGCACCAGGAAAACAACAACAACAGCCCCAACCCCATTGGCGTGGGAGCGGCTGCCCCTTCGTTAAACAACGCCAGCAGGAGATGAGACAAAGCAGGCTGAAACGCAGAATTGGATGGGGGGAAGGAATCAAAAAAAAAATGAAAAAAGGAGGAAAAAACAGGCCGCTATGGACCGAACATAAAATCCCAGTGATGCGTCGGCAATGGCAGCCACCAAGGTTTGGCGACCTGCGCACCAGGACGGCGCGGAGCCACTGTCCCAGCCCCTCCTGGCAGGAAAATAACCACCAAAACCCCACCTTTTCCTTTTTATTTATTTTTTTCCCCTCCTTTTTACAACCCTTTCCCGCTGTGCTGGATGAGCTCCCAGGCACCCATGGCCACGATCCGCCCTGGGATGCTCCAACGCAAGAACCCGAGCCCTGAGCCCTACACACGGCGTAATTCTGGATATTTCATGGCTATGCTGTTATCGATTAGTAATAATTACGTTCTGCCTCATCTGAGCTAAAACCACCTTGTTTATTTTCTACATCTCCTTCCGATGGCCAAATTTGTGCTGTTTCCTCCCCATCTGCTCAAAGACTCGTTATTTAAGCTAGTTGCTGCTGCTGGAAGGAGCAATTAGCTATGTTAGGGCAAGGAATTCTCAAAATTTTAGCTAAATGGCTAAAAATATGGCCATAAATCAGTTGTTTTTACAATCTAGTGTGTTCCAAAATGCAGAATACCCCAAATTACTGGCCAGGTAGGAACAAAAAAAAAAAAAAAAAAAGAAAAAGAAACGTTTCATTTTTTCCACCTGATCCCAGCCTGTTCAGCTAAGGCCTCTCCACAACCTAAAAATATCCAGCACTTCTGCCAGCCTCAAGTGTCTAAAAAAAAAATAAATAATAAAATAAATAAAAATAGTGAGTCAGCCCCCTCCCTACCAAAAAAAAAAAAAAAAAAAAGAAAGAGGATGAGAGGGGAATTAAAATAAATAAATCAGCAACGTGCATTTCTTTATTTGTTCCCTGACTTGACGCCCACCAGCCTTGCTGGGAGGGCACCCTCCAAGCCCCAAATTTCCAAGCACACCCGATTCCTGAAGCTGGGGGATTTTTTTGGTTTGATTTTACAGTAATTATCAGATTCATTTATATATATATATTTTTAATTAGATGAAAGCAGGGAAGGCCAAGTGAAGGTCGGTGGGTGCGCCAGCGTGCGCCCCGTGCCCAGCAAGGCTGGCGCCGACAGCTGCTTATTGCTAATGACCAAAATGCAGCATCAATCTCATCTCGCAGTGCAAACTTCTCTGATTCTTCCTTACGAGCACACAAACAGCACAGAATTTGGTTTTTGGGCAGGGCGGTAACGGGGGGGGGTCACTTGGCAAATTCCTGGTGTCACCTGGTGCCGCTGCGGGACAGGAAGGCGAGCCCCTGGGTTTCAAACCAAAAATGGTTCGACATGGAAAACCTCCCTTGTGGAAAAACGTTAGGCACCAAATTCATCAAAATTATTATTTTTAAATTAAAAATATTAAAATGGGTTTCTCTTTCCCTTTCCATCCCTTGCCAACTCTATGTAGGAGCCTGCTCTGACCCCGTGCACACCTCGAGCACCGTTGGCCGTGGGAGGAGGCGGCATTTCTGCAGCCCAGAGGCCATGAGGAAACATTTTGGGGACAGAGGAGCTGCCAAAGCCCCACCGTGCCCAAAATCCCACTTCCCAAATGTTTTCAGCCACTTTGCCTCCGAACCCCGTTGGGGAAGCGCAGGCACCGAGCGTTTATCCGTGCAGGGGGTGGGATGGAGCCCAGCAGCTCCGACAGCGATCCCTTCCTCGGAGACTCCACGCTGGGAAGGAGGAGGAGGAGAAAAGGAAAAATGACAAAGGGAAGGAAAAAAAAAAAAAAAGGAGGGGGATTTTTTAATGTTGAGAAGTCGGAAGAAATCTTTCCTTGCGGAAGTTAGCAAGGAGGGGGAGAGGAAAGGCTGCGGGCACGAGGTGCAGAGGTGGTTTTTGGATAGGGCACCGGGCCTCGCCCTTTGCCTGCCAGTTTGGGGCCAAAATGTTTATTTCTGGTCATTCCCAGCAAGTCCTCAAAAAGGTCCAGGGAAATATTCACAGGGCAAGATGGGCCATGTGCTGAATCCACCTTGCCAACCTGGCTGAGCATCCATTCCCAATTCCACCAACGGCCCCATTCAGAGCCAGCCCCGTAGCCCTCAGCCCCCAACCATTTTGGGAAGGAAAACCCCTCCCAAATGAGATGGCCCTGAAAAATGAGCAGGGACGAGCAGAAAGCATCGGGCACAGGAGAAAAAGAGGTGTGAACGCTGAGCCCTCAGCGGCCACGAGCATCCTGTGCTTGGACCAGGCTCCCGGGACAACCCCGTGCCTTAAATAAAGGGTTTTCAGCAAAAACCCTGCTTTGTCACTGCTCCCATCAAGAGCGAGAAGAAAAGAGGAATTTGCAGTTTGTGGGGCAAAACGGGAACCACACC